AGACCCACTTTGAATTATTCTTCTTTTTATTTCCTTATTGAAAATCCTACTCCCATCAATCTTCTAATTTGGTCCTCCATGATCTCCTCTTGTATTCTCACTAGATTTTAATATCACTCCTTTTTTCTTAGCTCCAGCTCTCTCCATATCCTTCAATCTTGCACCCCCATCATTCAATCCCTTCAAATCTGTACTTCCATATCTCCAATATAACTGCCACTTAATTAGCATCTCTGGTCCATATTTATCTCCACCTACTGTGTTTTCTCCTTCTCTAATTTTTCCCGTTACTGAAACATCAATACTCAGTGATCCTATCTATACCTTCTTGTAAAGTACCCTTTTCATTACTTGAATGCATTCCATGATTTGCTTCACCTTTCTTCTCCACAGTAACAGCATTCTTTGGAATAACGGTGTCAATTTTCTCTAGGCAAACATCTTTATAGTGTCCATATTTGCCACAATGAAAACACACAAGGTGCAATCCTTCATATCCTATTTTAATGTCATCACCAATATGCGTAAACGAAGGTAACAAGGGTTGACTCAAATCTAACTCAACATAAATTCGAGCAAAGCCTCCTATATCTGAAATTGAGGTCAATAAATCTATCTTCAAGGTTCTTTCAACTATATTTCCAATACGTCTCAATGATTTCACATTGTACAACTCAACCTGTAAATCCATTATTCTTATCCATGCTACAATCCTCCTCTGAGTATATGCTTTCCAGGGGTTAAAGTTTGGTCTCCATTTCTGTACTTGAAGATAATGGTCGCCTATCATCCACGGACATTCCTGATAAGCATAATCCAAATCTTCTTATTTCATGAAAGAAATAATAAAATATCCATTGCTCAATGGTGTAATTCTCATTGGATCATGTATTTTCCACATTCTAGTTATCCTTGACCTAAGATACCTTAATGGGATAGATTTTCCACATTCTAGTTACTTATGACTTGCTCATTATACATGCAAAACTATAATATTAGGTCTCATACTTTGATTGCATTTTTTTTAGTTTTTTTATTGTTTTTAGCTCCTTTTATCTGTTTGCAACATAAGTTCCTTTAATTTTAAAAATGTTCAAAAGGTTCATGAGCTAAAACTAATAAAATTAATTTTATTATGGTGCACTTAACTTCGTTAATCGATGTGTTGATGCATATTTAACTCTATTAATTCTTGTATTGACATGGATTAGCACTGTAAAATAATAAATACATATCACTGAAATTAAATTCCTAATCATTAAGGTAAGGATTTTAACTTGTTTTTCCACCATCAAACCCTATGATTTTCAAAATTGGATGTGTTGGGAGCTAGGGTTCATATGAGGTTTAAAGTTGGGGGTGATTTGACCGGATATTTTAGGATTATTGAAGTGATGGTTTGGGTGGTTATTGAGAATCAAGGTGATTAATGACATGTACACCAATTAAGCCATGATTTTATTGTTTAGAAATGATTGTTGGATGTTTGATTTGAATTTAATTGGTTTAGAGCATTGACTAGGGTTGAGTTTTATGAATTGGGTAGATTGGAAGTTAGACCCTATAAGTTAAGAATTTAGGGATTTGGTGTAAAGTGGGGCAATCCAATGATAATTGTGGGCTTTGTTGAGTTAAGGGAATAAGAAATTGGGAAATTATGGGTAAGGAACTAGGGTGATGGCATGCGAGTTAAATATTAGGAAATTAGGTTTTATAATTAACTTTTGCATTGTCCCAATTAATTGATTGTGATTGTTATTGATGAAAATTAATTATAAATTATGTAGATTAATTGATTGGTCGGTGGTGACGGACTTGGCTTTCACAGTTGTGTTGGATTAATTAAGTTTTGGTGAAAGATAATATTGATTATTCTTTTTTTGGGCCAACAATATTGATTGTTCTTTTATACATTGGAAAGTCATTACCTCTTAATATATCTTGAATATTTATTGTTTCGAGACCAGTAATGTCTACGGAGGGTTTATTTGTATATATGTTTATATCTTGGCAATAGTATTCTATGTTGGTGAGACATGATAAATCCTTTCTAGATAGTCAAAGGAAGCAATGAGAGGCACAATATGAGTTGGCCTTTCACTCATGAGAGAATGCTAAAGAAGTTCTAAGAGAATAAATTAATTTAATTTAGTTTTTAAGTTTTAAACTTTAAAAATTTATAAGTTCAGTTTTCAATTTTACAATTTCGTTGTAATGAATTTATAACTTATGTTTTAAATTTTAATATAAAAAATAAATTTATTTATTCTTCAACCAAGTTAAAATATTATATATATAAACAACAATATATAAAATCTCATACATACATATATATATGGCAGCTGCAAATATCAAAGTAGCAATTCGATGGGAGAGGTGATGAACATAGCATCTATCAACATATCAATCTTTTAATATGTTGGCCATTTTTTTAATAATAAAATTTGTATTTGTAAAATTTAAATGTTTGGTTTAAATTTTGAACTTCCAGCTATGCCTGTTTAACATTTAAATATTATTGAATTCAAACTTTAATTACCCAAATTAAAAAGAAAAATCATTAGATCAACCTTTAATACAGCACACAAGACTAGAGCCGCATGCCAAGTACATAACTTAGTAGCCCAAACAAATTATTACGTCCAACGCAACCTTCTTTCCTCTGTACCTAGGTAGCGGATCAAATCAGCAGATCTTATAATTTTTTTTTTTAAAGGAATAGTTGATACTAGTATGCCATGTACTATAATTGAGATTATCTTTTGAAGTATCTTGTTTACTAATATAAAATTAAAAAAATATAATTTTAGATCTTTATATTTTGTTTGTGTTTTGCTATTAGTTTTCATAATTTTTTCAATATTTTTAGTCTTTGTATTTTTATTTTTCATTATTTTAGGTCCTCCGCAAACAAAGTATAGGGATCTTAAAAGGACCTAAAACAATAAAAAAAATATAAAAACGAAAAATATTAAAAAAATATATAAGAATTAATAGTAAAATATAAGTAAAGTATAAGGATTTAAAATTATATTTTTTTGAAATTACTCCTTCACACTTTAATCATTTACTTGTAGGTGTTGGTATTGGTGCTGGACTTTTCTGCTTATTTCTTACAAGTTACAAGTTGCTTTTGACAAAATTGATTAATTCAATTTGGTTCAAATGTTTGCTTTTAGAAACTTAAATCAAACCAAATCAAGTCTTATTATATTTAATATATATATATATATATTTATAAATTTGTCAAAGTTTTCCCCCTTTTTTCAAGTCTAATTATTTGTAAATTATTAGTAAAAATAGTTACAGTTAGTTAAATATTATTCATAATTGTTTGAGATAATTTTTTAATTTTATAATCAAATGCTTTAAAGATAATGCATTGATTTCTAATAGTTAAATACGCTAATTAATTGTTAAAAAAATTATTTTGTGCCCAAGAGATTTTTTTTTCATTGCAAATAATAATTAATAGTTAAAAATCATTAGTGAACATGAATATATATTAGTAATTATGAAGAATATCTCATTAAAAATGTTTAAGCTTATCCAAACTTAAATCAAATCGAACCAAACCGCTAAAAAACTAGACCAAATTGATTAGAGGAAAAAACCAAATAGGTTCAAAACTATAGTGAATCGATTAGTTTGGTTTCGTCTAGTTTTTTTTCAAAACTAAACCAAACTAAACCTGTAAATACTCTTATTTTCTAAGATGTTGTCTGTTACATATGTGTCTTTAGAATTTTAAATTGTAGAGTGCCTTAAACCTTTGCATCATGTTAGATTCAAGTATCTCTAAGACAAATGTGGTATTATAGTTTCTCCAATAAAACCCCTTCAATCGAATCAGATGTAGTCTTCGTCAATAAGGAAAGAAGGAGGAGGTTCAAAGTAATAGAGGGATTTAAGTTAATGATAATTATTCTCTGTATAGGTTTTCTTTTTTGGACTAATTCTCTGTATAGTTTGTACAATAATATATCTCTACATTTATTTTAGAATATCCTATGTAGGACAGTTGTCAATCAATAGATAATAGTGGTTTAATTCTCTTTACTATGTATAATAATCCATGGTGCACTAGCCACGCTTTCATTATTCTATTAAGTCTTTCTATACTCATTCTCAAAGTGTACCCTAATCATTTTGACTTTAATAACACATTGGAATGGCTAGAGTTTAGGGAGGCCTAAAAAAAAAAATATAATTTTAGATCCTTATACTTTATTTATATTTTGCTTCATGTTTTTTGATACTTTAAATTTTTACACTTTTTTTTTGTTGTTTTATATTCCTCTAAGGTCCCTGCACTTTGTTCACAGAGGGACCTAAAATAATAAAAAAAATATAAAAATTTAACACACCGAAAAAAAATACAAGAATTAATAGTATAATTTAAGTGAAGTGTAGGGATTTAAAGTTATGTTTTTCCATAACAAAATTAAAAAATGGGGGCAAAGAAAAGTAAGAGACAAAGTTGAGAGTTCACAGAAAAAATATGGTGTCTGTTCATCAATATATGGGTTTATAGAAAACAAGACTAAGAAACCTAACAAATACCAAATAGAGAGATAAAATCTAAAATTAATGATAATAGTCAAAATAAATAAAATAGGCCATCCTAAATGTAATAAAAAAAATTGTTGTTATTCAACTATATTTTTGAAAAGTCAGTCACCTATTTTTTTTTTTTGTTGTTTAAAAATAGAAGCAAAGAACTCAGTTTCCGTCAAACTATCCTTTTGTTTTTTATTTAAGAAATTGAATATATATATATATATGTGTGTGTGTGTGCAGTTCTGAACTTGCAGCATCATAGTATATAGAGTAATCTTTTAATAGCATAATGCTGGAATTGCCTTTGAATTGTCGTCTGAATTTGTTAGCTATCGAACATGAAAAAGTCATGCATGAAAATTGAAAAGTCATTCATCACTGTTAATCTTAAAAGCGCTTCCTCTGCTATTGAATTTGGAAAATCTCAAACTCATCTCACGCCCAAGTCTAAAGACATGAAGTTTCCTTCATTCTCCATTCTACTACTACTCTCTGTGCTTTCTCAATTACTTCAATGTTGGTGCCAACAAGTATACCTCAACCAAACTAACTTCGACTGCTCCGGCAACCGCTCGTCAGAAGGATATCTCTGCAACGGCCTCCAAAAGTCATGCGCCTCCTTTGTGACTTTCAGATCCAGACCTCCTTTTGATACTCCTCTAGCCATTGCTAGTCATCTTGGCTCTGAAGCATCTTCCATAGCCTCCCTCAACAACATCTCAACAATGCCAACAAAATTCCTTTCAATCAAATTGTGATAGTGCCTATCGACTGTTCGTGTTTGGGCAATATCTACCAACATGCCGCTTCTTATGCCTTGGAGGCAGGTGACACCTATTATTCTGTTGTCAACATTACTTATCAAGACCTCGCCATTTGTCAGATGTTAGTACGTCGAAATAATTACAGTGCTGACTTTCTTCTAGTGGGTGCCCAGATTACAGTTCCTGTGTTATGTGCTTGTCCCACTACTAACCAGATCTCAGATGGGGTCTCCTCCTTGCTTGTTCACACACTTGACAATGGGGATTCACTAGAGTCAGCCTCACAGGCCTACGGTGTGGATCAACAGACTCTACTGACCTCTAACCTGTTGCCTTCAAACGCAATCATCCCTCCCTTGACCCCTTTCTTAGTTCCACTCAATCCCTCCTCTTGCAAGCTCAATCCACATATGTTCTACTGCACTTGTTCATTCTCCCAGAGATACCTTTCAAACTCAAGTTACAGCACTCTCAATTGTGATCGTCCTCAATCACATCGTTTCCCCCTCAAACTGGTTGCCTCCTTAGGTAATCTCTTCAGTCCTCCCTGGCTTATAATGTTTTTAGATAGCATGATTATGATTTACATCAACCTGTCGCAGCAAAATATGTGAGAGATAAAATTCTGCTTAGAAACATGTGCTAATCAGACACTCTCTAAAGTGATATGTGTCCCAACTATATTTGGTGCAGCATGTGTCAAACCAGATTTTGTAATTATCTTAAATACCAAGAGATATCTAGGCAACAACAAATGGAATGTCTTGAATATACAACAGTTTGAAATTTCGAAGTAGTGAATCAAAAGGGGAGATATTGCACATAAATTGTGTCTATATTTCACCCTTTAAATACTTAAAAGAAAAGAAAATCATTGGATCATACTTTATTTCAATGCTTTTGCTCGAACCACATACCAAGTACATAACTTAGTTGTCCAAAAATTGTCTCCAACACAACCTTCTCTCCTCATTACCTAAGTAGAAGAAGAAGAACAACAACAACAACAACAAGCCTTTATCCCACTAGGTGGGGTCGGCTACATGGATTGCAAGACGCCATTGTGCTCTATCATTTATTAAGCTTTTAGAAATATTATTAATTAAGAGATCACGTTCAACAACTTCCAAGAGTGTTCTCTTAGGCCTTCCTCTACCTCTCTTAATCGGACTCAAAGTTATATGTTCCACTCTTCTCACTGGTGCCTCCCTTGGTCTTCTTTGTACATGCCCAAACCATCTCAACCGATTTTCTACCATTTTTTCCTCAATAAATGCCACCCTCACTTTTTCACGTATGTGCTCATTTCGAATTTTATCTTTACGTGTATGTCCGCACATCCATCGTAACATTCTCATCTCTGCTACTCCAACTTTATGCTCTTGCTGTCCCGTTAGAGCCCAGCATTCACTACTATATAACATTGCCGGTCTGATAGCAGTACGATAAAACTTTCCTTTAAGTTTATTAGGCACCTTACGGTCACAAATAACTCCTTTAGCTTTTCTCCAATTAAACCACCCAGCTTGAATTCTATGTGAAATATCTCCACTGATTGCACCATCATTTTGAATAATGGCTCCCAAATATCTAAACTTTTCCACTTGAGGTATAATTTGATCTCCCAATTTCACTTCCAAATTATTTTCGAATAGTCCTTTACCAAATTTACAATATAAATATTCCGTCTTACTTCTACTCAGACGAAAACCTTTCGACTCCAATGTCCTCCTCCATAACTCAAGTTTGCAATTAACCTCTTCTCTTGTCTCTGCTATAAGAACTATATCATCCGCAAAGAGCATACATTTCGGGATTTCCTCTTGAATATGTTCCGTCAAAACATTTAAAATCAAGTTGAACAAATAAGGACTCAGAGGTGATCCTTGATGTAGTCCAATCTTTATAGGAAAATCCTTTGTTTGACCACTAGGCGTTCTTATACTAGTTTTTACCCCCTCATACATATCTTGTATGGCTTTAATATAAGCAATCCGTACTCCCTTTTTTTCCAACGCTTTCCAAAGCACTTCTCTTGGTATACGGTCGTAAGCTTTTTCCAAATCAATAAAAACCATGTGTAGATCTTTATCTTTACAACGATACTTTTCCATTAATCCCCTTAGTAGATAAATCGCCTCTGTAGTTGATCTACCTGGCATAAAACCAAATTGATTCTCAGAAATACTTGTCTCCAATCTCAACCTGTGCTCAATTACTTTCTCCCACAATTTCATTGTGTGGCTCATGAGTTTAATCCCTCTATAGTTAGTACAATTCTGAATATCTCCTTTATTTTTATAAATAGGAATTAATGTACTTCTCCTCCACTCATCAGGCATTTTCTTGGACCGTAAAATCACATTAAATAACTTAGTTAACCATCTCACCCCTTCTTCACCTAAACATTTCCACGCTTCGATAGATATACAATCAGGTCCGTTAGCTCTACCATTTGTCATTTTCTTAAGAGCTTCCTTTACCTCCTTATCACGTATTTTTCGATAAAATGACAAATTTTGTTCTCCTTCACCAGTTACTAAATCCTCCAAGTTACTAGATGAATCCTCTCCATCATTGAAAAGTTTAGAAAAATAAGTCTCCCATCTATTTTTAATTTCATTATCTGTAACTAAAATTCTTCCCTCTTCATCCTTAATACACCTTACCTGTTCTAGATCTCTTAATTTTCTTTCCCTACTCTTGGCAATCTTATAAATATTTTGCTCTCCTTCCTTCGTCTCAAGGTTCTTATAAAATTCTTCAAAAGCTTTGGAACGAGCTTCACCCACAGCTCTCTTAGTTTCCTTCTTAGCCATACGGTACCTCTCCCAATTTTCCTCATTGTTACACAAATGTATGGCTTTAAAACAGTTCTTCTTATACTTGATTTTGTCCTGTACACTATTATTCCACCACCAAGACTCCTTATCTCTCGGACCAGAACCTTTCGATTCTCCCAAAACTACTTTTGCAACCTCCCGTATTTTTTAGCCATATCCTCCCATATGATGTTAGCACTTCCCTGAGAATCTCAAATTCCTTTATCCAAAAGATTTTGCTTGAAAATATCTTGCTTCTCACCTTTTAATTGCCATCACCTAATCCTTGGTGTTACTACTTGTCGACGTTTTTAGATTTTACTCATAATACACACATCAAGGACTAGGACCCTATGTTGTGTCGTTACAGCATCTCCAGGGATCACCTTACAATTTTTACAAAGTTTTCTATCTATGTTCCTAACCAAAAGAAAATCAATCTGCGACCTTGAGGCTCCACTTTTGTAAGTGATGAGATGCTCATCTCTCTTCTTGAAACAAGTGTTAGCAATCTTAAAATCATACGCCAATGAGAAATCAAGAAGAGTTTGCCCTTCATTGTTTAGCTCTCCAAAACCAAAACCACCATGCACCCTCGCATACTGACCAGCTTCCCTCCCGACATGCACATTAAAGTCTCCTCCAATAAAAATCTTTTCACTCTGTGGTATGTGTCGAATCAACCCCTCCAGATCCTCCCAAAATAATTCCTTAAGACTGGCTTCTGTCCCGACTTGCGGCGCATAAGCGCTAATAATATTAACAGTCTCACGTCCAATTATCATTTTTAAAGAAATAATTCTGTCTCCAATTCTGCTAACTTCTACAACGTTCTTCTTCCACTCCTTATCTATAATGATGCCTACTCCATTGCGTGCACTTACTTTTCCTGTATACCAAAGTTTGAAACCTTGAATATCCTTAGCTCCTTCTCCACGCCATTTTGTTTCTTGCAAGCAAAGGATATTGATTTTCCTTTGAATCATAACCCCTACAACCTCTACAGATTTACAATTTAATGTCCCAACATTCCAAGTACCAAATCTAATTTTGCTCTTATGGACTAACTTCTTTAGTCGCGTGCGTCCAGAATGACGCGGTAGCCCTTGCTCATTTAGCACTACATCCGGGCGCCGATGCAGCGGCTCTAACTCACTTATCACTGTACTCGAGCCATGCAGCGCGTTACTTACGGGCAACGACCTAGCATTAACATTATAACGTCTATTGTCCATGTTCATGATAGATTCAACAAATTTTTACATTGGCTGTTGATGGCCTAACACAACCCTCCTCCTTTACCCGGGCTTGGGACCGGCTATAAACATAGGCGGAGTTACCTAAGTAGAAGAACAAATCAATCAATAGATCTTATAAAAAAAACTGTGTTCAAGGGATGGTTGGTGATTCTAGGCCATGTATTATAATTGGGATGATCATTATATCTACAAACCCATGCTTTCAGTGTATCTGCTTGTTTACAAATAAAGAATTACTTCCTCACGCTTAATCATGTCCTTGCAGGTGTTGGAATTGGTTCTTCATTTTTATGCTTGTTTCTTTTGGGTTACAAGTTACATCAATACCAAAAACAAAAGCAAGAAAGAGTTCGTAAAGAAAAATTGTTCAAGCAAAATGGTGGCCTCTTGCTACAAGAGAAGATGTCATGCAATGGAAACAGCGAGAAAGCAAAACTTTTTACAGAGGAGGAGCTGGAACGAGCAACAGATAACTACAATGAAAGTAGGTTTCTTGGTCAAGGTGGATATGGAACCGTTTATAAAGGAATGTTACCAGATGGCAGCATTGTCGCAGTTAAGAAGTCAAAAGAAATTGTGAGAAACCAGATCGAGACTTTCATTAACGAAGTGGTGATTCTATCCCAAATGAACCACAGGAACATTGTCAAACTCATGGGTTGGTGCTTAGAGACTGAGGCCCCATTATTAGTATATGAATTTATTCCCAATGGAACCCTTTCTCATCACATCCATAACCAGGAACTCGAAGCAAAGCTTTCATGGGACAACCGTCTCAGAATTGCTTGTGAGGTTGCAGGAGCACTGGCCTATATGCATTCTGCAGCTTCTATTCCCATCTTCCATAGAGACATCAAAACTCCCAACATACTATTGGATCACAATTACAGTGCCAAAGTGTCTGATTTTGGGACTTCCAGATCAGTCCCAAATGATAGGACTCACTTAACCACAGTGGTGCAAGGCACTTTTGGGTACATTGATCCTGAATACTTCCAGTCCGGTCAATTCATAGATAAAAGTGATGTATACAGTTTTGGGGTCGTACTTGCAGAGCTCATTACTGGAAGGAAACCCATTACCTTCTCAGAAGAAAATGAGGGTCAAAACCTTGTTGCAGAATTCATTTCTTTGATGAAAAAGGATCAAATTTTTAAGATTTTAGAAGCTAGATGTGTTCACGAAGGAAGGAAAGATGATCTTCTTGGAATTGCAAATCTTGCAAAGAGATGCTTGAGACTGAATGGGAAGAAGAGACCCACAATGAGAGAGGTTTCAGCAGAGCTAGAAGTAATGAGAAAGACACAAAATACCTTGAAAATCATTGAACGTTCTCTTGAGTTTCCTCATGATGTCAGATCAGCTCAGCATGGCACTACTTCTGAATCAGACCAAGATTTCACAGGAGAAGGCATGTCATTGTTTTTCCAAAAAGATTATAGATCCATCTGAAAGTGAAGCTTATACCCACAACAATCTTCCTTCCTTTAATCCCACGTGTCAGTTAGAGTCACCATCCAAGTGAGCAAACACATTGCCACTTCATATTTTTGAACACGTGGCTTCATGCTAAATAATTTATGGGTGAGACTTATGTATTTAACTTTACACGCACATATATTTGATATGTAAAAAGTTTAGGTAAATTGAATTTGAGAGTTTATCAAGAGTAGAACATGTCTTTAAATTCAAATATCCCTTATAAAAACACTTACTTAACTCTATATATTTAATATATTTATATTCAATCAAATCATAACAAATAGATATTAATATATTAATTAAGCTAACAACAAGTATTTATTATAAAATATATAATATATAAAAGATTCACCTATCTTAATTTAGTTAAAAACAAACATATTAAATATATAAGTTTTAATCATACTTTAGAACTTACATAGCTATAGAGAAATATTTGCATGGACTAGTGCATCACGTCATCCATAACTCATTCAATAAAAGCAAGTCATTCAAATGATTGTAAATATATATTGATTTTGTCATTAATGATGGTAAAAAATAATAATAAATTAAATAGGGTTAAAATACATTTTACACACTTGATATCTTTAAATTTTTTTCCCCACAATATCGATCCAATGTTCTTTAATTTGATACAATGTCGCCTTCCGTTGGAGATTGGCCATGTTAACCGTTGTTATCATCCACATCACTGTTCTTCTTCTCCCCCACGCTTCTTCATTATTCTTCATTATTTGTTTCTTCCCCTCTCAAAAACCAACTTCAACAGAACCCATCGCTTCCCATAATCTCGTAGACGCTAGCTAGCTGAGTTCTCTGGCCTAGTCAGAAACATCCAATGGATGGAAGATGTTGTAAAAGAAGGTGAATGAATACTTTCTCTATTGAATCTCATGGTAGAAGAAGGACTTCCAGGAGGACGTTGCTTTCTCCATTGAATGAACTAGCATTCACTGCCCGTGCGTTGCACGTGAGCATATACTTGAGGTGTTCTTTTCAATTGCATAGGTAGGATTTGTTGGCAACAGCTGGTGAAATCTAGTCTGAGTCATGCCCAAGGACACTGTCCTTAAGAGCTATTCCACCACACTGGGTTGATTGCGCGGCAGCTCCCCAGGATTAAACAGACTCTTCCTACTAGAAGTAGGGACACAGAACAACAGAAATTCATAAAATAACCTCAGGTATATGCACAAAAAAACAATGTGATAAAAGAGGAGAGAAAAGCTAAGAGCACAAAAGCTCCTACAGAACATGTGGCAAGTACGGCCTTTTATAGGCAGATCTCATAATTCTGGGCCATAAAGTCATCTTAATCACAATTAAAAACGGTTTCAAATAATAATGTTGTTTAAATTATACGTTACAAAATAATAAATAGACTTTAAATAATAATTAATATTATTAATTTATAATAATTCCTTTTGAAATACTCAAAAATATTTTATAATATCCAACAATCCCCCACATATTTCAAAAGTAAGAAAATTTTTGAAGAACTATCTTATACAAATAATTTTGTATCTCTAAAAACAATTTCCAAAATTTTAAAAATTGCCCAATACCACATTTAACTCATGCGCAATTGTATGCGAGAGCTCATTTCTCCTCTAAGCCCATTTATTAGCTCAAGTTCACATCTTAGTATCTATAAACTAAGGCTTTCATTCATTTGAGCAACATGGGACTTTCATTTTTTACACAATTGTAACAATCTCCCACATGTGTCAAAAGGACTATTATCATCTAAGTTATTCTCACGGAAGATAATCACTTCGAATTTGGTGTTTTTTGACTTGAACCAAACCTAAACCAATAAAACTTAACACACAGAAAAGTCGGTGTAACTTTGTTATTGAACCAACAGATCTTGGTTGTGTGATAGAGGTCTTATTAGTTGGATTATACCCCCACAATTTCCATTATTATCACGGTTTTGCACGTTATCGGCCATGCGCGTGCCTGGTTTTAACAAATGCTCTAGATATTTTGCCACGATCTCATAGGAGCGGCCCCACTCCACATTTGTATAGGTGTTTTCATCAAGTGTATCTGCAATGAATACACCATCCATAAGGACTATGAAAAATATTAAGAGCTTTCACTCAGCCTCCGATCAATGCATTCTAGCACTTTCTCAAGCCATAGGAAGGGACAAAAATTTAGTGCTAGCAGAACTAACAAGTGACTTGTTCTTACCCATTGAACCTTCTTCATGGGATCTCCAATCACAAAGATTGGGTTGCCATCACCGTTAATTTCAAATTGGCTTAAGTCCCATTCCCCTCGACATTTAAATAATTAAAATTCTTCCCTAGGGGCTAGTTAACGGATCTATCAGATTTATATCTGATCTCACATAATCAATTGAGATAACTCCCTCTTTTAGCATGCTTAATTATATCTCAAACGATATTTATATATGCCATTGTTCTCTTTACAATGACTATTACTATTTGGTAATCTCAAATCATCGATATGGCTTGTGTCGGTTTTACTCATAGTAGAATATTCTTTGAGAAGTTTCTTAACTACTCAGCCTCATTATTAGCCAACTTCAGAGTAATAAACTCTAGCTCAAATAATATTTTATTTAGCTACTAATAGATTTTTCTTCATCTGAATATAAAATTCAGTTGACGTCATTGTATTGTTTTAATACAATGGAAATCCACAATTCATGGTACCCATATTTATGATACCCATCAAATACTCAATCATCTCATCCTCTTATAAGATTACTTGAAATGCTTAATTTTCACGCAATATATGTCATGAGATTAATATTTATTAATGCAACAAACTCTTAAAAATTCGTGCATACACAAATTGAGCAATAAATATATCAATTTTTTAAATGACATATTAGCATAATAAGAACTCATCAATACTAAGTGTCAGTTTTACACAACAAAATAATTGCTAAGAAGATCTCTAGCAACTTAGCCTCCAATCCAACTTTAATTTAATGAGCTTAGACTCCACTATATTCCTATCATTATATCACTACTGAGAGTGAATAGTCACTAGTGGATTTTTTCATATGAATTTATAATTCAATTAATATTCACGTATTTTATACAGCAAGAATTCATAATTCATAATTTCATTTATTTCACATAGAACCAAAACACTCATAAACAAATCATCATCCACATTAATGAATATTCACACCAAGATAATTAAATAAGTCATGCACCTATTTTAAGATACATTTATCTACTATACTATATAAATGATTAACTATTGTGCCACCATCACAATGCTTGGTGCAAGCCACACAAAATGATACATCATAATTTTTGTATTTATGCAAATAATAAAGCCTCCATATAATATTTTCTCTAAATCACAACATAGAACCATCTTGGCATTCATAAAATAAGGTTAATATTATGATATAATAAATAATTACTTTTTTTAGAGTAAAGCAAAATATTTTTGCTAGGCACCCCCACACTTTCAAATATTTGAAATATATTTCTTTACCATATCAATTAAATTAAAATCTCATCATGTCATTACATTTTTCTTATCATCATATTTGTTATACTCCAAGTATATTACACAGTATGCAATCAACCGTGCGTTTCGTTCCAAATCCTTTTTGCATTTCACAACCGCATAGGACAATAATATTATCAACACAATTAATCACACCTCATGTGATTGAATTTATAACTCACAAATTAAAAAAAATTGTGAGTAGATAAATTAATACAAACCAAACCAATACTTCAATGTCAACATAAATGATAGTTAAACTTCTTTAAGAAACCAACGGCAACATTTTTTTCCCGTAGTCTCCAACATTATGTTCCATTCTTAATAATATTTATAAAACGGAATGCTCATTATATTTTATCATAAACAATCCATAATATATGGTAATTGAATACCTTCTTACGTTTATTACAATTAAGATTTGAAATGAATGCAATCTAGTTATAAATGTACCATATATAACGCTAATATATATTATAAACGTACTCGAGGTCTCTTTTGACAAATCAATATATGGCCATCATTGAAAATAATGAAGATTAAATATAAAGAGAAGATAACGTCTCCGACTTACTCCATTTTTCAAGAGAGGATCTCTTTCATATTTGGACTGCTACGTCCTTGACTTAGCCAGCAAAACAACAATTGCTATAATAATAATAATAATAATAATAATACTAGACTAGACTGTATTCATGAAATAAAATGTATATCCATGACTTGATATACTTTTATTTATGTTTCTAAAACAATTCGTCAGACTAAAAGTGACTACAAAAATATTCATTCAATTACTAATACTCAAGATTCCAAAAAAAAAAAAAACAAACAAAACATTAACCATTCTATAGTCTACTCCCATTTAAAATTGTAATGAACACTAAACTATCAACGGCATTTAACAGAATAATAGTTTCATGAAACCCCAAAAAAAAAACTTTACTACAATAAATGATAACGGTTTATAATTAGATATAAATGCTATTTTTGTCATTACAATACTTTATTACAGATTAATGACAAATAGCCTAAAACCACAAAATAAGATTAATTCAAACACTTGACTAAATACTTTGCCTTCGTAGAACAAAATTATAGACTTGAAGACAATATTCTACGCAGAATTGTCAACACAGCAGAGCAAGAGCCCTTGAACAAAGGGGCTTGGTATGAATGAATGCTCTATCAATCATTGAAATGTGTGGGTCCTATTTATCATTCAGTTCACAGCCAGAAAGCTTCATTATCTTGTTTCTATGTCTTTATGAACCTCATTTTATTTTTATCGAGTGCTGTGTGTATATATATATATAGCTACTCTACCGCATAATTGAGGTTGAAAGGAAATATTACCTTTGTAGGACCCATCCGAATTAGTTAAATGTGCTCCCAGTATCCATGTGGATTACTTCTTGAAGAGAGAACTGCTACTTAATTTTGAAGACTCCAACATAGCCATGCTT